ACCACATCTAGTAAGACCCCATCTTAATAAAGACAGACAGAAAACAGGCAGTTGCTTGGAATTCCAGGGTATCACCCTGGCTCCACCCTCTTTCACTATCATGTCATCTCATGTAAATGCCTTCTTGTGTCCATGGTGGTCAAAAATGTTTTTGTTTTTAAAGCACCCCCAAGTTGCTGTTCCTCCCACCGTAATAGTGTTCCCCGAGTGCTGGGGTTGTTCACATCCTCATAAGTTACCCAACCAGTGAGCACTGATTAGAATATTGCTTCTGTGAGAGGCTGTTGTATTTGCTAGGCAGTTTCGAGGCAGAGAATATACAATTTCTTGGGTCTCTCAGCCTCGAGTCCTTTAACCCAAGGCTTTCTAGAATGATCTATGTTCTTTCTAAGTGGAGTCATGACTTTCTTGCTCCAAAGCATGGATAATCCTCTTTGCCTGCTCAGGTTCCATGAGCCAAGAAGGTGCACATGTGGCTTAGGCTGGCTCTTCAGCTGCACCAGATTTCAACGGTTTACGTGAAGGAGAACAGTTATGACACTGAAAGAAACGAAATCCAAGATTCGGGTGTTGCATGGAAGACAGGGCCTGCCAGAGCTGCCAGCCATGCCCTCTGTTAATAAGCTGGGTGAACTCTTGTACCTGCTCTCCTTATTCCAGCAAGTTCTACACTCCTTAACAGTCTAGCATGTAGAAGGGATCACAGTGCGGCCTCGCCTTACCTGCCCCTCTCCTCCGACTCTGTCCTCACAAGCATTCTCACAGTGGCTACACTACCAAATAATGGTTTGTTTGTTAACGGGAGGTCTGCTGTGACTCTTGTTAAACATGGAAGACTTCACTTAAGAAGGGACGACTCTGCTAGGATTTTGTAAAATAGAGATCTGGTTTAAGTCCAAACACAAAGGCAAGTGAGTATTTACAGGCAGGGATCTGCACTGAAAGGTGTGTGTGTGTGGGGGGGGTCATTGACTGAAAAATATCTAAGAGGAAGTTCTGGGGGCACAGGATGGTTCTGGCTAAACCTACTTGACAGGATTCTTATCGAAGGCAGGCCAGCATGAGCGAAAGAGGGTGGAGATTCTCACTAAACTGAACCTGCAGGATTCCTGATAAAACTAGATTCTAGGAGAACAAAGACAGCTCTAGGTTGAGGCGTGCTAAGGCTTAGAGGAACCTAACAAGAATTAGGGCCAGCAGAGTTGTAAGCAGCCACAATTTGTTTCCTGGGTTTATTTTTAGAATTTTTAAATTTATTTATGTGTGTGTGTGTGTGTGTGTGTGTTTTGCCTGCATGGATGCATGCATATACTATAGCATACCTGGTGCCCTTGTATGCCAGAAGAGGTACCTAGAACTGGAGTTAAGGATGGTTGTTGTAGGTGGCAGGAACCGAACCTGGGTCCTGTGCAACGCACTTGGGGCTTTTAGCCACTGAGCCACCCCTCCAGCCCCTACTTGGTTTATTTGACTTTTACTAAAGAGACACACTGTGCAGACCGCTTTGTAGGGTTGATCGCTATGTCATGCTTGACCTGGCCGTCATTTATGGAATGCTTTGAAGGGGTCATTGTTGTTAGTGGGAATTGAACCCAAAGCCCCATTCATGTTAAGCCCTGCTGCACCACAGAGCTACATCTCCAGCCCCAGGGAATTAGATTTTCATGTTATATCAATCCATAGCTTCTGGGAAGGGCACGAAGCCATGAAAAAGAATAAAGGGTCCTTCTTCAACTTAAGGTCATTTCCGAAACAAATGGGTTTCTTGGCTGCTCGGTCATATGTTTGCAGGCATTGTGCTTGGTGAAGCTGAGGGTGGCAGCTATGCTGTGGTCTACCTTTTCCAGCATTTTAGAGAAATGGACACATCACTTACTCAACCACTGTAACATACAGTCCACCCAGGCTATGGAGCCCTAGATTTGAACAAGATGGGGTTTTGGAAACTTGGGCATTGACTGCACAGTTGCCCTTTATCACTCTGGAGCACCCCAGGGAAGGTGCTTCTGTTCTTTGCTCATTCAAGCCGTAGCTTATCCGGGAGCTTAGCCAAACTTGGAAAGACAAATGGATACTAATATGTTTGTTTATATGACTTATTGACCATCGATTGAGTGTGTGCTTTTGTCCTAAGTTTCTGGAGAGACAAAAACACAAGTATGACATGGTCTCTGCCTATGGAGTTTTATGGTTCAAAAGTTTATTTATACATGTAAATAAACAGGTTGCATATGCTGTACAAAGTGTAGGGTGACCTTGCATCCTGAGACAGGCTTGGCTTATGCCTCTTGCCCTCATGTCACTACTAAGAATACTCCTTTTCACTTTTACAAATAAGGGCCACAGCCATGATCTCATGACTGTTCAGGTATAAAAAGGGTATAAAGAATAGCCAGGCATTGGTGGTGCACGCCTTTAATCCCAGCACTTGGGAGGCAGAGGCAGGTGGAGCTCTATGAGTTAGAGGCCAACCTGGTCTACAGAGCGAGTTCCAGGACAGCCTCCAAAACAATATAGAGAAACCCTGTCTTGAAAAACAAAACAAAAAAAAAGCCACTTTAAAGGGGCCTGGATAGATGGCTCAGAGTACTGACTGCTCTTCCAGAGGTCCTGAGTTCAATTCCCAAAAACCACATGGTGGCTCACAGCCATCTACAATTCAATCTGGTGCCCTCTTCTGGTATGTAGGTAGAACACTATATATGTTGGTTTCCTACAGTAGGCCATTGATCTGGGTGATGAGAGAAGCTTGGTTAGCCAAGGCCAGGGGTCTTAGGGTGAACTTGGGGTTCAGGTGGAAGAAGAGGTGTATTTCAGGGACGTAGAAACTTCTGCCGGCAATGAGAAACTGCTCTGGGGGTAAGAGCAGTAGTTGGCTTGAGTTAGATATTGTTTGCCAAGTTTACCCTTTGACAATTCCTCAAGGACATTATAATACACATCCAACTGTCTGGACACCACTGCACCCGCACCCTTCCTATCCCCTTGAGCCAGGCATGGAATTCAGGGCCTTGTGTGTGCTAGACAGCTGTTCCCTCTGAGCAACATCCTCAGTGTGAATTTGTGTGTGTGTGTGTGTGTGTGTTTTAAAGATTTATTTATTTAGTATACAGTGGTCTGTATATGCCTACAGGCCAGAAGAGGGCACCAGATCTCATTTTGATGATTGAAAGTCACCATGGGGTCGCTGGGAATTGAACTCAAGAACTCTGGGAGAACAGTTAGTGCTCTTAACCTCTGAGCCATCTCTCCAGCCCGAATTAGTGTTTTTATGATCTCCTAGATGTTCTTGGGCATAGAAAGGTTAGATCTAGCTGCTGATGGTGGCTAGGGAAGCAGGATCAGCTAGGCAGAGGAAAGTCCAGTGAGAAAGCCCTCAGGGAAAGCCAGTTTAGAAGCTGAAGTTCTAAGGGGTGAGGGAATAATGCAGGAATGAAGTAAGTCACACCAAGGATGGAGAGGGAAAAAGATTCTAGCACTGTTGAGGAAGAACGAACACCAGGTGCTGACTTACATGGGTATTATATTCAGGCCATAGGATAATTGTATCAAACCGAGGCATCTAAGGGATCTGAAGATTTACTTGGTGATCATAAACTCAAGACACCAACAGTTGGATAGTGTTGGCATAGTTCTTGTAGACCTAAAAATGACTTCAGCCTCTTTTTTTGTTTTTGTTTTTTTGAGACAGGGTTTCTCTGTGGCTTTGGAGGCTGTCCTGGAACTAGCTCTTGTAGACCAGGCTGTCCTTGAACTCACAGAGATCCTCCTGCTTCTGACCCCCCCAGTCTGGGATTAAAGACGTGAGTCACCAACGCCCGCTTTTTTTTTTTTAAGTATTACGACACTCTTGACAGTCTTGTTTATCTCTGGCAAGAAGCAATAATGGACTCTATAACATCCTACCTTTTCATCATGGTAGGATGCCTGCCAAGCCTTATCTTACATGCCTGCTTTGTTGTGGAGTATGTAAGGCCTTTGTGATTCATCAGCAGTATACACGTGTGGTGCCAACTCCTTTCAGGGGAGACCATCAGTGCCCTGCAAGTTTCAGCGTGACCTTCTCCCGAATTTTGGAGGCGCACTCTCTGTGGGAATTGTAGCCACATCACAGATACTCCGAGAAAAGACAGAAGCACAAGAAACACATTATTGACGCACCAAGAGTCTCAGGCTTGGCCCTTGGAGGCAACGGGTTCACTAGGACTAGGAGAGAGCCTGGGGCAGTCCCTTGGTTGAATCCTTCAAAGATGACGGAAAAAAATTCTCCTGCTGGCTCTGTACTGAAGCGGCAAATGACATCAGTAACCAAAGACCTAGAAATTGTCTGAAGAAAACCTTAAAGTTATGAGAAGAAAGGACAACGGGAAAACGCTGTCAGGGGGCAATTTTGCATCCTCTATCCCTGGTCTGGCCACTCTAGAGCCCCCCGTGAGTGTGGTTTGGTGCAGACAAGGCATCTTCAATTCTTGTCTTGGTTGGGGGGCTTCCAAATCCTGAGAGTAATGGGGATGGATATGACTAAAGTGAGGGAGCGGGTACAACAGAGGTTCCTAGTTTTTGTGTGTGTGTGTGTGTTTTTTTTTTTTAAATAAAGGGCTTAACTTCTATGTGGTCCAGCGTCAGCCACGCCATCAAGTCCTAGTGGCAGGAAGAACAGATAAAAGGGGAAGAGGAAAGGCGCAGCAGCGCGCACACGCTCGGAAACGGACGTCGGCGGCGCGCAGCGAGCTGGAGGCGCCGGTCCCCGCGGGGAGGGCGAGCGCGGTCGCGCAGCCCCTGCCCAAGCAGCGAGGCCGGGCGCGACCAGCGCGGCGGGGGGAGCGCGTTCCAAGCGGTGGCCCCCGCGCGCCGCGCCAGTAGTTCGGTCCGAGGGGGCGGCTCCAGGGGCGCGGCTCCGCGGCGGCCGAGGCTGGTCTAGGCGGGAGCGAACCCCAGAGCCGCCGAGCCGAGGCGCGCAGAGAGGGAGGGGACGGGCGAGCGGGGGCGCGCGGGGGCGAGCTTGTGGCGCGGCGGCCCCGAGGAGCGGGGGCGAGCGGCGCTGCGGGCCGTGGGAGGAAGCGCTGCGCCCGGCCCGACGGCGCTCGTTGAGCCACATCCGCGGGTCGCCGGCAACGCTGCCGGCGCCTGTCACGGCCCCTCCATTTTGAAGGAAGGAGGCCGCCGTTCCCACCGCAGGGGCGGCAGCCGCGCTCATGGCGTTCAGTCCCTGGCAGATCCTGTCGCCCGTGCAGTGGGCCAAGTGGACGTGGTCCGCGGTCCGCGGCGCGGGCGCGGGAGAGGAAGAAGCCGGAGGTCCCGAGGGCGACCCCGAGGAGGAGGAGGACTCGCAAGCCGAGACCAAGTCCCTGAGTTTCAGGCAAGTACACCGCATCCCAGCCGAGATGCAGGCGCGCGCCATCCTCCCTCCGCGGTCATGCTGTGTGCGCGCAACCGTGCCCCCGGCTCTGCGGCGTCTTGCCCGTTGCCGGGTCCCCGCTGTGCACCCGAAAGTTCGGGATGTTGTGTCTGCCCGTGTGCTTTTCGTCTTCGCTGTGAGCTTTCCGAACCCAGCCCCGAATCCGCAGTCTCCGCATCCCGGTTTGCCTGGCTCGCCTTCTCTGAGCGTCGTCACCCCGGCTCCGACACAGCCACACCGGCCCGTGTCGGTTGATGAGACCTGGTCGGATTTGTAGCATTTCCCCTGCGGGCAGGGAATTGCTCCCCCCGCCCTGCTTGGCCCCGCGGTGCCCTAAAATGCAGCCATGGTCAAACTGGGTCGCGTGATGACAGGCCCCTGGCAGCTGGCGAGAGACATGGTGGTCTCTGCTGAGCTGTCACACGTGTGATTGTGGAAGGCAGGTGACGGCATTTCCAGCCGCGGGTGACTTTCAGACAGGTAGAGGCCTACCAAGGAACCAGGCTCGGCTGGAATTGGCTTAGTTTGGGGGTGGGGCGGTATTAATTTTTAAGCCTCTGGAAAAGGGGCCCATTACGAGGAAAGGAATTGATTGAAATGCCCCCCCCCCCGAGTGTGAAAGGCAAAGATGACCTCAAAAGTAAGTAGTGCTGGTGAGAAGCTCCGGAGCACGGAAGAGATTTCGGGGAGCTAGGATGCTGGGCATCGCTGAAAAAACTGCTGCTGCATCCTCCCTCGGCCGGACGGAGGATTGGTTGGTTGTAGAGTTAGATGGAGGTACCTGACTTGCACCTTTGTGAATAAGTACATTTAAAAGGCAGTTGGAAATACCGTTGACTGTGGTAATGCCTCATGTTTCCCCCTTGGCAGCTCGGATTCTGAAGGTAATTTTGAAACTCCTGGAGCTGAAACTCCAATCAGATCGCCTCTCAAGGAGTCTTGTGAGTCATCCCCAGGATTGGCAGAACCCGAGGCCAAAAATCAAGGTAATAAAACTTTAATTTTCGACCTCTTTGATTGTAACTTGGGGCAGGGAGGGGGCAAAAGGGGGCATGTATGTACCTCGAGGACCACTTGAGAGAAGTTAGATTGACTCCTTGCCCCGGAAGAGGTATCTTAAAGCTTTTGCTGGTTGGGGAGGCTCTTTGCCTTTTGTTTTGTAAAATAAACGCCCTGATCAGTTGATGACCCAAAGCTGTCTTTATTCTCTGAAGAAAGATTGTGCAGCGGGGTGTGAGATTATCGGCTTTCTCAACCAATCCTGTTAGAGTTCCTCCTCATCCCGGAATAAGTAAAAGTCCTGAGGCAGTGACTGGTTGATTGGGTTATGTTTAACTCTGCCTACACAGATTCAACAGTCTAGTTGTTTTCTATAAGGGTGTGGCTATCCACAAAATTATAGGTAAGAGTTGATTTTTGAGTTAGGAATCTTAAGCAGTTTCAAAATTGCTTGCCTTTTCTTCCCACCAAGGACTGGTGGGCAGCCCTTCAGTCTAACAAGAAAATCTGGTATACATACTCTCTCCTGTCCCCAAGAGCCCAACTTGATACCTGCGCTTTATCTTTCTGGCTCGCTAAATTAATGGTAGTGGGGTTTTTTTTTTTTTTTTTGGTCTAGTTTTCTTTTTCTTTTCTTTTCTTTTTTTTTTTGAGACAAGATCTCAGCCCAGGCTGGCCTTGAAACTTACTATGTAACTGAATATAACTTGAACTGATCCTGCTGTCTCTCAACTCCTGGAATGATAGGCCTGCACCTCCACACTTGGTTTATTGTTGCGTAGTTTTGAATGAAATTTCACTTGTTATAATAGGAGTTAATTTGTTCCTTTAGTAAGTGGAGGCACTCTGATACGGAAGTGGGCTTCCTGATCTCACTGAGCAACAGTTTGGAGGGAGATGAGCCTTTTAAGGGTTCAAAGCAGAATATGTCGCTTACGTTAAGTGCTGTGGAGACCAGTTGGGGGTGGGGTGGTGAGGATGCACACGGCCTATGGGCCTGCTTAGTAAATGATGGAAGTTAGTGTAGGAGACCACGGTAGAGAAGGCAACTGGAACAGACTCTCAAGGGGAGGATTGAGGAAACAAAGCTCGTGTGTGTGTGTGTGTGTGTGTGTGTGTGTGTGTTTGGGAGAAGAACCCTTTCTGCAAAGGGAGAGGGTGTGGAGAAACATGCATTTTGGAGGAGCAGGCAGACGCCAGTGCTGCCCAGTGACTAGGCGGGTAGTAATAGGAGCTTGAAGTCAGCAAGGCGAGAGGCAGGCCAAGAATACATACGGTGATGGTTAGGTTTTCTGCGTGAGACAGAAAGAGAAACCAAACAAAACAACGTACCCAGTGGCTCAAGTTTACTGTCGTAGTTCCAAGAACTGATCGGTCAGTGCTCCGACAAGACTCCAGAAAACCTCCTTTCTGTTCTAACTTCTGCTGCTTGTCAACAGTCCTTGGTGCTTGGCTTGCAGCCGTGTAATTCCTCCTGGCCTTATCGCTTGGGTTTTCCCTGAAAGTCTGCGGCTTCCCGTGGCCATGCTATGAGGAGTCCACTCATTCAGTTCAGTACTCTCTCCAGTCCAGTAGGACCGCATTTCAACGGCACTACACCTCCAAAGAAACCTTCCAAGTAAGGGCACAGTGCTGGTAAATTATGACTTTTAACCTATCTTCTTGGAAACACAATTCAACTCATTGTGACAAGGCTTTGACATCGTCTTTTGGAGATAGGGCTTCAGCTATGTAGCCATGGCTAGCCTGGAACATTCTGTGTAGACCAGCCTGGCTTTGACTTTAACAGAGACCTCTGCATTCGAGGTACTGGGATTGAAAGTGTTAGCCACCACTTCAGGCGTTTTTTAATAAAAAACTTGTTTATTTATTTATTTGTATTTATTATTTCGTGGTGCTAGGGCATGTGTCCCTGCCCATGTGTGGAGTCTGGAGGACAACTATCAGGAGTTGGTTATGTCCTTCCGCCGCGCCGCCTTGGTTGTAGGGATTGGACTCGTGAGTCTCAGGATGGCAGGCCTACAGTAAATACTCCCTGAACCATCTTGCTGGCCCAGACAGTTTGTTGTTTATGAGATAAATCAGAGTCTCCCTGTGTAGCCCAGGCTGGCCTTGAACTCCTGCCCCAGCCTCTCAAGCCTGACTTCCTTTTGCCAAGGCAGTTTGTTGCTTCTCTGTGGAGGAAGGGCTCTGGAATGGATGTCCTTCGTATGTGTAGCTTCTCTGTCCCACTGTGTTTAACACCATCGCCATCCAGGCGCGGATGGACCAGCTTTCCCTTGGGATTGGTTATGACTTTTTGGGCCCACGGTTGATGTAGTCTAGTGCTTACTTTCTCACAGCTAGCCTGGGAAACTTGAGTCATTAGACTTTGTAGAGGAGTTAGATTTACTGGTATGTCATCACCCTGTATTCATTTATTTGTTTGTTTGTTTTTGCAGTTGGTTTTTACTAGAAATTGAGCTCTCCATGCTGTGTGTACCCTGCTGAGACTCAGACAGCTCTGGGCTGGTTCTGGCCGGGGTTAGCACAGGATGTTCTCGTGGACCGACACGTTGCAGAGGGGTGTGTGGCAGAGCTGTGCATTACTTTGTGTAATGAAAACACTGCTTGTTCCCATAGCGTGCTTTCTTCTTTCAAAACTGGCAGGTCGGGAGGGAGGTCTAGAAGCTTGAAAGATCTGTGTTGTGGGCCTTCTCATCAAATTTAAATAAAGCCCATAAGTAGCTGTTTGCAAGCCTCTTTCAACTGCCCTTGCCTTGGGCTGCCTTTTTTCAACATTCTACCAGTCTGCTGTTCTGATTCCTCTGCCAGATTCTTTGGCAAATGGATAGAGGCTGGGACCGGCCCAGCTCCCTATCCCCCAGCACCCGCCCCCAGCCACAGACACTCAGTTGTTTGGGTCCTTCCCATTCCAGTGGTTCTCACACTCTTTCATTCTGTGTAAATGTTTTCTTCTTAGAGAGCCTTGGATCAGCAAAGTTCTCCAGGGTGACTGTAGGGGGAAGAGGGCGATGGTGTATTGTCTGGGAACAAACCATACATACTATGAAATCTCCCACTTTAAGGTCTTTAGACAACAGACTCCTAAGACTGGTTAGAGTCTGGCCCTTTAAGGACCGACCCATGGAGTCAGCCCAGTGTGTGGAGAGCCCTTGTCACACATACAAAGTGGTGGTGAGAACTCAGCCGAAGCACAGGTCTCCATGAAGATCGCTTCACTGAGCAAAGGTCCTCTTTTAATGACTTAATCATTTTTATTTTATGTGTGTTGGTGTTTTGCCTGCGTGTATGTCTGTGTGAGGGTGTTGGCTCCCCTGGAACTAGGGTAACAGACAGTTGAGAGCTGCTCTATGGGTGTTGAGAATTAAACCCGGGTCCTCTGGAAGAGCAGCCGGTGCTGTTAACCACTGAACCATCTCCCCAGCCCCCATTTTTTTTTTCAAGACAGGGTATCTCTGTGTAAAACAGCCCTGGCTATCCTGGAGCTTGCTCTGTAGACCAGGCTGACCTCAAACTTACAGAGACCCACCTGCCTCTGCCTGAGCAAAAATTCTTAAGTCAGTTTTAGTTTCTTGGACTGTTTGTTTCACTTTTCACCTAAAATAGTTACTTTCATTTTTGAATTTCTGTGGCTCCAACACATGGTTGGACAGCACATACAAACTGGGCAGGGCTGTCTTCACAGGCCTTATAGTGATCTAGGGCTTCCTGATGTCTTGTCATACATGGGTAGGCAGGCTAGTGCCATCCTCCTGCTCCGTCACCTGCTTCCTGATTCTTTAAAGTCAGAAGGAAATGCAGTCTTGGTTTTGACTGGAACTGTTCTAAGAATGTATATAAATTTTGTAATTAGTCCTCTTAAGATGGTTTTATGCTAGCAACTAAATAGGTCAGGTTGTGGGTTTTTTTTTTTTAAGACATAGAAGAAAAGTTGGCCTATGAATACGTAATAAACTCAGACTAACTGGATGTATTTCTCGGGAAAACCAAGCTGGCAGCTGTAAAACTTCTATGGGTTGTTCTGTATTTGCAGTCTGCTTCTCCCTATGAAGGGTGTTTAAGTTGGGTTTGCTTGTTTTGTTTTGAGACAGAGTCTCACTATGTTAGCCTCAACTTTCTATGTAAGCCATGCTTGGCCTCAAACTCACAGAGGTCCTTTCGCCTCTGCTTAAAATGTGTGTGCCGCCACACCCAGGCAGTTAAGCTGCTTTAAAAATATTATTATTATTATTATTATTATTATTATTATTATTATTATTATTGTGGGAGAGGCACACATGTGGGGCGGGGAGAGCGAGTCTGTGTGTGCTCTTGTGTAGAAGACTCCCATGGAGTCAGTTCTCATCCATCGTTATGTGGGTTCTAGAGATTGAACTCCAACCACCAGACTTGAGGCTGCTTTATTTTATTTTGTCTTGTCTTTTTGCTGGGATGTTTGCTGGTGAAGAAACCCTCCTTGGGAAACAACTTTGAGGAGGCCCTGTATCTTCTGACACACACTCTTTTGTATTCACAGGGTTAGGGGCCATCGGTTTGTTCAGGTGTTTCAGCCTCTAAAACCTTGAGTTCTAGGCAAGCTATACTAGGCAAGCTATATCGTGAGACCCTGTCAAAAACAAAACAACAAAATCCCCAAACTGCAGAGGTTTACTTTGTCAGTGAGGCCCCTCTCCCTTTGTGAACATACCTGTATTGAGCGATTGTTACCCTTCTTTGAAAAAGAGAATGTTAATTAATGTAGAACCCCCCCAACATTAACCTTAAATAACTAGTTAAACCCGCCCATCCATTTTTGTTTTAGAATACCTAGGCATTTCAAAGACTTACTGTTGCAGTCTGGAATAGAAATGGAATCTACCTACTGATAATTATTGCTGGTGTTCATGTGAGAATTCCATTTTTTGTTTGTTTATTTTTTGAGACAGGGCTTCTCTGAGGACCAGGCTGGCCTCTTGAGTGCTGGAATTAAAGACATGCACCACCA